TAACCAGTATTGGGGTGGGCACCCATGCATCCGGTGCAGTAGCACCCTATAGCACACCAAAACCTCCGCCACGACCACAACCGTAACCGGTACCTATGGACTTCGATCAGTCCGTTCGATCGCGGCATATAAATTATATGAACAAACCAGCAAATAATGATTATGCAGGGAAAAGACCTCTCAGCACCGCTAAGATGCCAAGACAGTTCCATATTCAACCAGAGACAGAAAGTACCGTGCAGCAAAATTCAGATGAAGCTACATCAAGTTCAGAACAAGAGTATTATCAGTTGGTGGAAGAAAATAACGTAAACTTCAAAAAGAATATGTATGGCAAAGCGATAACGAACAACAAGAATACATAGATATGTCAGAACTTTATTTTTTAGAATAAATCGTTCCTCGCTACGTTACCTTAAAGTAAATTTTAGTAAAAATTCTAAAATCTTAATCGACACGGGCTCTAATCAAAATTATATTCAAAATCAACTAGTACCAAATCCAAAGCCAAATGAGAACATTTTTTTAGCTAATTCACGCAATTCTTAAGCTCGCTAATATTTCCGATACACCCAGAAATTTTTTTTACTAGACGCACTGAAAACGTTCCATGGTATTTTGGGCAATGACATAATGAAAAGCCTAGGAGCAATAAAATGATATATTAACTTTCGGAAAAAAACGCAAAATTAAAATTCATCAATTAGCGACACAAGCAGTAAATACAATTGGACCGCAAGTCAGCCATACCCAATATCACGCAAACAGGAAGTAGAAAAACAAATAACAGATATGCTAAGAGATGGTATTATAAGACTTTCAAGATCACCATATAATACACCAGTCTGGGTAGTTCCGAAAAAGTCCGGTCAGTCTGAAGAAAAAAAGCACAGATTAGAAATTGATTATAAGAAACTTAATGAAGTTACTAACTCAGATCGGCATCCCATTCCCGAAATTGGAGAAATTATTGCACAGCTTGGAGAACAAGTATTTTTCGGTATTAGATCTTAAGAGTGGTTTTAACCAAATACCACTGAAAGATACGGACATAGAAAAACCAGCATTCGCGGTTATTGGCGGAAAATATGAATTTACGAGACTTCCTTTTCGGTTTGAAAAATTGCCCATCAATTTTTCAAAGAGCATTAGATGACATATTGAGAGAATACAAAGGGAAAATTTGCTATGTGTACGTTGATGGTATTATAGTCTTTAGCAAAAACGAAGTGGATCACGGCCAAAATTTGGAAAGAGTTTTTCAACGCTACAAAACGCAAATATGAGGGTCCAAATAGAGAAATGCCATTTATTCAAAAACGAAGTAGACTTCTTGGGGTACACAATATCAGAAAATGGAGTAAAATCCAACATAGATAAATTAAAAGCGATTACAATATTTGCAGTTCCAAAAACATTAAAAGATCTCCGTTCCTTTTTGGGCATGACAGGTTATTATAAGCGATTCATAAAAGATTACGCGAAAATAGCAAAACCCCTAACCATTCTTCTAAGAGGCGAAGAAGGCCGTGTATCTAAGACCAAGTCAAGCAGAACTGCTATCAACTTGAGCTAAGACGCGATTACAGCATTCGAGAAACTTAAAACTGTCGTCTCCAGGGAGGTTACCCTTGCCTTTTGAGATTTCGGAAAAGAATTGCAATTGACTACAGACGCATCAAGTCACGCAATAGGCGCAGCATTGAAACAAAATCATAGGCCAAAAACGTTCATTTCGCGAACCCTGTCAAAAACTGAAGAGAACTACGCAACTAACGAAAGAGAGATGCTCCCTATCGTTTGGGCACTCCAGACATTATCTTTACGGGTATTCAAAAGTGGTAATATACACGGTTCACCAACCCTTGAGTTTTTCGAATAGCGTCACACAACCTCATATTTTCGGTAGAAGCTCCAACTAACGTATTTAAAAACCAATTATTTTTACTGACTGCCGATACAGATTCCTATAGTTTCGAAATATCATTCCAAACATACCATAGACATATAATACATTATAAACGTATTGGGAAATATGACAAAATTCATTTACCCTAACTATTTTAAATCATACAAGGCAAGGTTTACTCAAAATGAAATAGACGACGTAACTTCGGAATCCGAGCCCATAGATATGCAAAAGAGAACAAATTACAAATTTTGAAGAATTATTTTTTCTACAACTTACCAAGAAAATTCAAGCAATAGTTCAAGCTTGTCAAACTTGTAAAGAATCAAAATACGATAGGCACCCCCAAAAGGAGAAATCCAACCGACCCCTATTCCTAATTACCCAGGAGAAATAGTTCACATAGATATTTATATTACCGTTAAACATAGAGTCTTAACGGGAATTGACAAGTTTTCAAAATATGTTGAAGTAAAAATTTTAGAGTCAAAAGCATCTGAAGATAAAAACAATCCGTTGAGGGAAAGGTTATTTGCTTTCGGTATGCCGAAATGGATAATAATGGACAACGACCGATCATTTGGCTCAGCAGAAATAAAGTTTATGTTAGAAAATGAACTAAAAATATCGGTACACACTTCTGCTCCGTACGCATCGACAAGTAACGGACTAATATAAAGGTTTCATTCTCAACACTATTTGAAATCATGCGGTGTCTCAAAAAACACAACGGGAGCATATCAATTGGAGATTTAATCTTCAAAGCAGTTCAGGAATATAATAAATCGATACGTTCTGTAACAAAAGAAAGACCCACATAGACATATTTTTCAAAAGCACAATCTCTAGTCATCCACATCTATAATCCACAAAGCTATGAAGAAACTCTGGCGAAGGTAGAAGAATCATTTCATTCACTCACCTCATCTCATTCATTACACCCATATCTTTCCTATGAACTATAACAGATCCAAACGGATTTACGCATACTCCAAACTCAAAAAAGACAAAAAAGGGCAATAGAAGCAATAGGTTCTGCATGGAAATGGCTGGCGGGATCACCAGATAACCACGACTATCAGATCTTAGAAGATAAGATAAATGTGCAGCTAGAAAACAACAACAGACAATTATTAATTATTAAGAGATTAATTAATCAAAAAATGCTACTAATGCAATGTTAAAAGTTACCCAGAGCTCAAAAGAAATCGCAAATCAGAAAGCAAAAATTCAATTAATAATTGAAGAAATAACCAAATAATGGGCCAAATCTAACACAATAAATTCATTTGTACTTACGAACACAGAAACCAAATAGTGGGGAAAAAGAAAATAACTTATTTTTTAACATACATAGAAGAATTAATGGAATTTAATCGAATCAAGTTAGCCACAACTGCAAGTCTCTTTCATATAATAATATCGTAATTCGACGTTAACAATTGGCGAAACCATCTTCAAGTCAAGGGAAATCAATGTAGTCAAACCAGAACCTCCGTTGTTCCAACTATTGGGAGAAAAGACTAAGTTAGAGGAAGTTCTCTCACTACAAATGGTCAAGGAGCTCAACATTAACAACATTAAAGCGCTGGAAAAATTAAGAAGCAAGTCAACCATAGAATCATCCGTTAGCTACGGATCCGCCATCATCCTACTACTACTTATAAAGGGATCAATCACGGATCTCCTACGAAGCCGTAGGTCAACGGAAAATACACGAGCTTCCGTGTCAGAAACGCAAGAAAAGCCAACGCATTCTGGACCTGCGTTGCGGCCGAGCACAGTCGCGTTTAAGGAGGGAAATAATACAATTTCCCAGGCAGAAGAAAAGAGTAATCAAGTAAGCAAAAAAGATCAACAGCGGCAGAGACAGCGGCTGCGATTGAGCGACGCGTAGTTCTTAATCCAACTCAATAAAGAGAAGTTTGATTTATTTTTATATCAAAATCATAATCAATCTTTTAACTTATATATGTGTTTTGTTTACAGACAACATATCTGCGTTGCGGGCACAGCAGCCGGCGGAAAAGTCTCTTGCGCACGCCTTTGCCTGCGCCAAAAACAACGCCAACAAAAAAAAAACAAACAATGAATATTAATAATATTAATTTTAATAAAAGTTTATAAATTGAATTTCTCATATTTTTTACTAGGACTTCCGGAAGGATTCTAACTTTTAATTCCGCGCGGTAAACGCCTGCTTCATAGAAGTTCCTTACCGCTTTGTACGGAGAATTCCCCATGATTCCCGGTTCCCAGGGGATGCCTTAGGGAATCTTCACAGATTGGAACTGCAAGTATGTATTGTCTCAGTCGCACACTTGCAAAGGGAATTGTGCGTATGATCTTGAAGTAAGCAAAGTCAAGAAAGAAGAAAGCTTTGAAACTGAAAATGACAAAATAGCAGTACATAACTTGTCGTTAAGGTATCTGCCACTAGAAAATAAGATGCGAGAGTTGCAGGACATGATGGCCTAACATGCAAAGGCAAAACCTAGCATCGGAAGTATGAGAAGCTTGATCGAATTCTTCAAGTATTGCCATTGTGAACTTGAGGTGTAAAAGCAAAATCAATTACAATCATGGGTCACCAGTTACAGGTTTCAGTGGTTATTTCCGAAAACGTGTTGCCAGAGATGCCATTATATCAACAAAGGTTGCAGTGCGAAAAGACACAACAAAATGCATTTGAAGAGTTGCCTTGTTTTAAATCCAGTTGTCACCAGCTCTACCCAGATACCAAGAATTGAATGCCAGTGCAATTGGAATAGCCGGAGTACTGCTACACTGTGAAGGTGATAAGCTGAAGCCAATTGCTTATTATAGCCGCGCAACTTCAAAGCCCGAGAAAAACTACCATAGAAACGAGTTAGAGGCTATAGCAGTAGTTGAGACATTGAGAACAAGAAAGGAAGCAAACTTTGACAAGCCGAATTATATATACCCTTGCAGCTGTTCATGTCTATATGCTTAACAACATATGACAGCTATATAATATCGTTGTGCGATGGTAATAAAATTAAAACCTTAATTTTAAACTAATAAACCACTGCCATGTTTCACAGGATTTTAAGTTTTTGTTGACGCAGGTTTATATTATTTATTTCAATTCTTGAGTTTTTATTTAATTTCTGTTCAGCTTAGCTTTTTCACGTCTGCTTCCAATTGTCTCTCTTAATTCAAGTGTTACCCTATTCTGATCTTCACATAGTCCTTACTACTCATTCTACATTATTGGAACATCGGAATGGAACATAAGTGTTATTATTATTAGATTATTAAATAGTCACATCTTATATCCACTTGATCTATACAGCTTCCAATATACTGCTAACAGCTCGGCCATCCTGACAATTAGATCGTCCTCGATCGTGGGTTTTTAATATTATAAAAGTTTTTCTTAATATTATATGTTATAGTTAGTAATAATTTTGACTAGTTATGATATATAATAAAATTAATTTAGCATATATTAGGAGTTAATTTCACACTGATTACGCCAATCTGCCCATTTTCGTATCCGACATGCTTCTACAATTCCTTCATAGGGAATTTGACTAATTTGACAATTTTCAATATCACTTATGACATATCTATCGTTTGGCAATATCTTTTTAACGATATATGGTCCTTTGTACTTTGGTACAAACTTTTTGTTTGTACCAATTGTGGTGTCAATGTTTCGCATTACAACAAAATCGCCTTCCTCAAATTCTATATGATCTTTATGATTTTTCTGAAAATATTCTTTGCTCCTTTTCTGGCACTGTTCTATTTTATCTGAAGAATTCTTACGCACATTTTCTAAATCACTCTGTGGTATATCATTTCTATCATCTAAGTATTCTGTTAATGCGTCAATATTGCAACCTCTCTGCTGAACTCCAAATAATAATACTGAGGGTAATTCCTTTGTAGTTGAATGCATTGAATTATTAATGGCATATTCGGCCCTATCTAAAAGTTTGCTCCAGTCTTCATGCTTAATTGGTTCAGTTATCTTGGCCAGCATCGCTTTTATTGTCCTATTTAGTCTCTCCACCAGTCCGTTCGCTTGAGGTGACGCAGTTGCTACCTTAACGTGTTCGATATTATTTTCTAATAAAAATTTGGCAAATTCTAATGACGTAAAACATGTACCTCTATCACTTACAACTCTACGTGGTCGACTATAGTATCGAAAATATTTCGAAAATCACATGTTGACTTCTTTTGTACTCGTTGAATTCACTGGATACAACTTAACAAATTTGGTAAATCCATCAATAATTACTAGCAAATGTTTCTTTTTCGATATAACTGAAGGTAAAGGTCCAAAATGGTCTATGTGTAATGTATCAAACGGAATTGGTCGCTTAGGTATATTATGAAGTGTTCGATTATTCGCATGTGTGGGTACCGTAAACATGATACACTTTAAGCAATTTCCAATAAATGCATCTATTTTAGCTTGCATGTTCGGAAACCAATAGTGTCTCATTATTTCTTTTAAGCACTTCTCGGAACCTAAATGACATACATTTTCATGAACCCTCCTAATTATATGGGATTCCATTTCAGCTGGTACATATAGCAATTCAATATCATTCTCACCTAATCTATAAACAATTCCATTGCTTAATATAAAGTTCTTCACACTTCCTTGTTCTAATTGTTCTTTCAATTTCACTATAATACTATCTCTATTTTGCGTTATCTGAAGCTGAAGGTTGATGTCGTCACTGTCAATTACTGAAACTATTTGATCTTTGTTGTCACTATTTTGGATATTTACTACTGGTTCATATTCAAAACTCTCATTTAAGGCTGAAGGGTATCTACTTAATGAATCAACATGAGTCATATATTTTCCACTACGATGCTTAAGGGTATAATTGTAATTAGCCAATTCTAAAGCCCATCTGGCAATGCTCGAGTTAAGGCGTCCTTTCCCTAGGCACAAAACTACTGCATTACAATCTGTTACTATGTTAAACGGAATTTTCGTAATGAATAAACTACAGCTAATGTTTCCAATTTAAAGCTTTCATATCTAGCTTCTAGTTTTGTTGCTCTTTGTGAAAAATAGGCTATTGGGTGAAACTTATTATCATCCTGCTTTTGCAACAAAATCCTCCAAATCCCTCGCTACTTGCGTCGCAATGCAATTCAGTCTCTCGATTTGGGTTGTACAAGGATAATATGGGAGATGAAATTAATTTGTCACGAAGATATTCAAAAGTTTTTATACAATCCTCACTAAGTTCATACTTAACACCTGCTTTTGTGAGCTCTTGCAATGGCTTTGCTATTTTTGAGTATGCCGGAATAAACCTCCTAAAGTAAGAAAATAGTCCTAAACATTTCTGCATTCCATGGCGATCTTTTGGTATCGGAAGATGTTTAATAGTTGATGTGTGCTCATAATTCAGACTTATTCCTTTTTCACTCAGTGTATACCCTAAAAATTCAATGCTTTTGTAAGCGAACTGGCACTTATTTATTTTAATTTCCAATCGGTACTCTGCTAAAATTCGTAATTCTCTTCCTACAATCTTAAAATGTTCGTTCAATGTTTTCGAGCCTATAGCAATATCGTCTATATAAACTACTACATTTCCTTCGCGAATCAAAGGTTGTAGAATAAAGTTAATAAATCTCATAAATACTGCGGGTGCATTCATGAGTCCGAAAGGCATTCTTGTATATTCATATTGACCGGGAGGTGTTGCAAATGCTGTATACTGCACGGAACTTTCTGCTACTTTCACTTGATGGTATCCATTTTTCAAATCTAACAATGTAAAATACTTATTTCCTTCTAATCTCTCTAAGCAGTCATCTATGAGGGGAATGGGGTATCCGTCTCGAACGGTTATCTTATTAAGTTGTCTATAATCTACACACATACGCTTTTCTCCACATTTTTTCTTAACAAGAACGATAGCGGAACTATAGGGTGAATTGCTTTCTCTTATGAATCCTTTTTTCAATAACTCATCAATTTTTGAATCTACTTCTTTCTTCTCCTGATACGAAAGTCTTCTTGGTACAGTGCGTACCGGTTCTTCAGACTTAAGTCTTAGCCTCATTTTATAACTATGTTGGATCGCTGGGATGTTAGATAAACATAAGTAATTCAATCTTATTATTTCACTGAGTTCGCTTCGATCTTCATCACTTAACTTCGGGTCAATGTCAAAACTTTCATCATCCTGAAATACATCAATACTATATATATACGGAATGCTGTCGTCACTAACTATTTCATTTTCTATACACAACTCTTCTAAGTCTCTACTGCTTTCTAAATGGTCACTGTCTCTATATGTTTCACTATTCTGAAGTCTATTTATTGGTTCAATACTCACTATTTTCAATGGTTCACTATCCTTAAATAAATTCACTTCTACAATTTCTTTTACCTTATCCTTAGAAATCAATTTTATTCCAAATTTCTCAAAAAACTTACGGCCTAACAGAACATTAGTTGAAACATAATTATTGGGTACAACAAAAAATGAAATTTCTTCTTCTATGTTTTGAAAAACGAGCCTGACAAAAATTTTTCCGAATGTTTTAATTTTAAATCCATTAACTCCATAGTAATTCGTCGGGACCAGTATATCGCTAAAGTTTTTATAAGGAATCGCAGAGTGCTGAATTAAATTAATGGCGCTTCCCGTATCGAACATGGCAGACAGAAGAGTTTCGTTAGGCTTATGTTGGCAATCAGTGTAAAAATATACTCCTACCTGGTTAAAAATCGGAATAAACATATTAGGCTCCTCTTCGTCATCTCGTATCGGCTGGTTGTTGGCTGCTCCCACCACTCTCGGATCACTTGCTGGCTTCTGCTGACAATCCTTTAGCATATGTCGGAGGGATCCACAACGGAAACAAGATCCCTTCTCGCGTTTCGGCGCAGTGCACGACGAAGCGTAGTGCCCATGAGCAGAGCAATTGTAGCACCGGACTGTTTTCCGATCTCCTCCAGTATTTTCCATGCGCTGAGGAAAATTGTGTGACTTCTTCCTTAGATTGTCATACTTCCAAGCCAATTCCTTCAATTGTGCGATTGTTGTTGCTGTGTACAATATAGCGATATTGGCTGAACGATCGCGAAAACGATCAATGACGAACTGCACTGTCAATTTTTCGTCAATATTTGCACGCATAGCAATTTCCTCCATCAGAAGTATGTATCCCATAACGGTGTTCTTCGCGGGGTTGAACATGGTTTCCTTAAGTAGCAATACAATATCAGCAGTTGAGCTTCCACGACCGAATGTTTTTATGAAATTTGTCTTAAATTCGTCGTAAGTGTTCGATCGATCAACACTCACAAACAAGTCGGCATCTGTACCCGATTTCATCAACATTCGTACGCAGCGCAGTTGAAAATTTGTACATGTGTTGATATCTCTGCAGACTCTCTCAAAATTCAAAATCCACTTAAGGGCTTCCTCATTTTCAGTGGCAGAAAACCACCATTTGGAGGTCATCTGTCGTTTTGTCGACGTTTTTCATCAATCCGGCCAATATTTTCTTCTTCTCAGCAACCCTTATGGCGGCGTCAAGCAGTGCGTCTTCTTCTTCCAATGTCTGGATGCCTTCGGTAGCGGCTCCTTGGCTTAATACTTCCATTTTGGAGTTCTCCTCCACCAATATGCTTTCTGGGATTTCAGCCACTTCTTGGTATCCAGCATCAAAAGCGAGCATGCGCAATTGCCTTAAAGTTGCACTTGCAGGGAACTCGATTTCGTTGGCTTGTAGCCACTCACCAATTTGTGTCTTGTCCATTTCAGAATGGCGTCGTAATTATAAAAGCGGAAAAAAAATGTGTGCTCTCAGGTATGGCTATGTAGGCGAATGTATTAATGGGACTATCCCACTTCTGAAGTTGTTGATGCAGGTTTATATTATTTATTTCAATTCTTGAGTTTTTATTTTATTTAATTTCTGTTCAGCTTAGCTTTTTCACGTCTGCTTCCAATTGTCTCTCTTAATTCAAGTGTTACCCTATTCTGATCTTCACATAGTCCTTACTACTTATTCTACATTATTGGAACATCGGAATGGAACATAAGTGTTATTATTATTAAATTATTAAATAGTCACATCTTATATCCACTTGATCTATACAGCTTCCAATATACTGCTAACATTTTATTTATTTTTATTTTAAAGTTTTGTTTTATTGCCTACTCCCTTACAAAATATATAACGACAATAATCAATTTATATCATGTTATTACTAAAATAGGTATTTTTACATCTTTGGGGTTATTGTTGGCTATGGTACATGTTTGAAAAACAGCGGAGTCATAATTTTATTTCATATATATATTTTTCCGAATGTTCCCATGGGACATATAAGATATAGTTCGGTTTTCATGAAACTAAAACCGTAACTCTGAAATATTAAGCCAGTAATAGTAATAATATAAAAAAAAATATTATTTAGAAGCCCGATTTAAACAAAATTAAAATCGAAATTCTAAAACATTTAACTAGTACTATATCTTAAAAAATAGATTTATTGAACTTTTGGTAAAGTTTTATCTAGATAGCTCTAAAACCGAGAGTATAGTACGGACAGACGAACAGGGCTAGATCGACTGATGCTTATCAAAAAATATGTACTTTATAGTTTCGGGAAAGTAACCTTCACTTCTTTGCAAACTTCTGAATGAAATTAAAATACCCTCTGAAGGATATAAAAAGACAAAAGGTATCATAGATTGTAATGCTTTAAAAAAGTCGATGGAAAAACATGAGATTATATAACGAATTCCAAGAAAGTGGGATAGCAGCATTGACCTAATAGAAGAGATGCTGGGTATTTATATATCGATAATGTTTTATCTAGATACCTCTAAAACCGAGAGTCTAGTACGGGCAGACGAACATGGCTAGATCGACTGATGCTGTTCAATAATATATGTACTTTATGGGTCGGAAAAGTAACCTTCACTGCCTTGCAAACTTCTGACTGAAATTATAATACCCATTAAAGGATATAAAAAGACAAAAGTTGTCATAGACTGTAATTGTTAAAAAAGTCGAAGGAAAAACAAGAGATTATATCACGAATTGCAACTCTATAACAAAAGGAAACGCTTTTGCTAAAATTTGTTGGTCTGCAAAACGAGATGATAAACAAGAGTTAAAATATTTTTTTAAGGCTTTTAGATGTTTTGTTTGAAAGTGTATTTGTGTTTTCGAGTTTTTGACTTCACGTTTACGTTTTTTTGACACAATGCAGACATTGCGAAACCAGCTTTTTGCGATTAAAAACCAAGGAAGAACCCTTTAATCAAGCTCCCCGACTATTAGATACCCGTTACCCAGCTAACAAACTACAAACAAAATATTTCCTCACAAAACAATCGGTGAAAGTTTTTTTTTAATTATTATTGGATTTTTATTTTTGCGTAATCAAAAGTTTAAAATTTTAAAAATATCCTGTTTTTGAATGACGTGGTTCTAGGGAGCGAACGCAGCCGAATTTTCATTCCGCAAACTTCTCTGCTCCATCAAATCAGACAATGTAGAAATAAAAAAAACACTCTTGGTCATTTGATAAACACAAGCGTAAATATAATAATGATAATGAAATTTGGCCTAGATGTCTTAAGCAGTCCTGCCAACTCAATTTTATCTCGAAATGATAGGCCCCCGAATTTTAAATTGAAAGATTTTTTTCCACAGTAGTATATAATTTATAGGGTCGGAAACGGTTCTTTCTACCAGTTACATACTTACTAACGATTACAATATATCCTTTAAATCTTCGAGTAACGTGTCTAATAACAAATAAAAGTAATGCGATCTTAATCTTAAACAAAATGAATACCCTCTGAAAGTGTTCATAAAAAAGTTAATTTATTATTTGTTTGTCTTTGCATATTAACCTTGTTTATCTCTGCTTTCCGCTCGAAGGATAATTTCCTTTCCCGATTCACGCCGCCACTGAACCTTTGGTTTTGGAACACCAGTCGCACTGCATTCAAGTGAAATACTTCCACCCTCTGTACTGACTCCTTCCTCTAGATTATGTTCTGGGTGGTTTAAAATATCTGGCGGCACAACAACATCTAAGAATCCAGACTGCAAAACAAACTTTGTATAAGATCCAAACTGCGCAGTGACAATTTTGCAATGAAAAAGAGAACTCTAAAGGTTTCCAGTGGCTTAACATGCATTATCTGGAACACCCTTAAAAATTCCTGGTCCAGGTGAACTCGTTGTCCTGTCTATACATAGACTTTTGACACATAAACCAAAAGATGGAAAGGAGATGCACTTACAAGGCTCTTCATGGGATCTGTATTAACTTGGCACATGTAGCTGCCGGAGTCATTTATCTGTACTCGAGATATGTGAAGTTTCCAGGTGTTGTGGCCATTGTGTGTCACTGTTAGTCTTGGATTTAGGGAGACCATGTGTGTGTGTATCCCAAGAATTGCTTTTGAATCAGATTTAATCCATGCCACCTGAAATTATAAAAATATGGGAATAAATGTGTGTTTGATGTCTTATATACAAGTTCTGCAGTCGAAATGGCAGCAGAATTCGCAGGCAGAACGTGGGGCGGTCTGCTACTGTATTTTCACAGAGTTTTGATAATATCTAACTTTTGAGCGAGTTTTCTTTTAAGTCAAAAGTGAAGTTAAAATAGTAATGAAAGTTGAATCATAATCTTAAGAAGCTTGTTTAATAAAATTTAGTTAGCTTGCCGAAGTTTGCTTCCTTTTCTTTTTCTTCTCCTGTAGTAAATTTACAATAAATAAAATTCAGTACTTATTGGCTGGCGGCAGTTTATCAAAAAGCGCTATCAGCTTAATAATTAATTTTTGTAGTCTAGTTTGGTTTAGTTTTTTGCTTCGATTGTAAAAAAAAACTGATTTGGGGATGCACAGATGAATTAACCGTTGTTCTCATCACCGGCAAAAATTTTATTTTGAAATCATTGTGTTTTTATTTTGAAGACACTTTTTTTTTGTTTACAGCAAAATGTTTAGTCATTTGTACGCAGCCAAGGCATAATAATATTTATAGATTTATTTTCAATCTTATTTTTATTACAAATTTATTTTAAAAAGTTTGTAAAAAGCATTTAATTAGCCTTCGTGTTTCAGCCCGGTTTGTCGGAAACTCCAATTAATAATCAACATTTTAATTTTTAGATGCAATTTCGCTCGTTGATGTATCGGCCGCGTTAAGATATAATATTGACGAACGACGTTTGTATACCAAAACAACCTAATATTTGTTATCAGTTCTGGCAGTTTCTGTTCAACTAATTTCAATTCATTGCCTATTGTGATTTATCCATAAAACCGTATAGATTGAGAAAAATTGGTCTTATGTATGAGCCCAAACATGAAATATCCTAAGGCCATGGGGGACTTTCATGTGGACTTTCGAAGAATTCAAAACAGTTCGCAAGTCTAGCTTAGCTAGTCCAGCTAGTGTAGCTTATCGAAGATTGTTTGTATGAAAGTATGATTTATTTAGCGGAACACCAAACGTAAAACAATTTATATTTTTGAAAAATTTATGACTATTTCGTAGGGCCTGTGTGTTTAAAGTATATTATTTATTTTTTGTGGGATCTTGACAAGGTTTTTAAATTCGTTTTTCAACTTTTTCCACCAGATTTTAAATATTATTAATATTATATTTCAAATATAAATAAAATAATATAAATAAAACAAACAAACTAAGTTGTCCAAAAAGTATGCTTTTATACATTTTTTAATATTTTTTTTATTTTCAGAAGATGTTTAATGTTTAAAATGTTGTTAAAGGTTTACGCTAAGTGACAAATTAAAATAATTAATCATTATTTCATATAATTTATTTTAAATTAAGGTATACAGTTTAAATCCATATATTATGTTTTGCTTTTACTTTGAATTTAATTTAATTGATCGCTAAAAGTTTTTCAACTATTTGATTAATAATTGCTTATTGTCCTCGGAAAAATAAAACTATACCTGGGAAGTAAAGAAGTTTCAATTCTTTTTGGTGTTGTTGTTGGTGTGGTAACATTTGTGAAATACAAAAATACCCTGAATTTCATTATGCGGCTTATAAGAAGGAAGTGCGTGAAAAGAAAAATCACAGTGTGGCTGTCTTGGCTGAAATAACTGCATCGCGCGGAAATTTTAGTTAGATACAGCACGGTAAATTGTGAGAAGATGTTAAAAATGCGGATAAATAAATGTTATGACGTTACTTATAAGATGGGACTGTGCGAAGAATCGAATACAAATCACAGGATGACTGTCCGCTCGAGGCTGAAATAACTGCAGCGCGAAGAAATTTTGGTTTGTTTTTTGCATCAGTGCAGTGATTTGTAGAAAGAATAAACAAAAATAAATATATATGTAAATCTAATGATGTGGCTTGTAGGATGGATGTATGTGGAAAGTTTAGAGACAAATCACAAAGTGACTTTCCGGTCTTGGCTGAAGAAACTGCATCGCGCAGGTATTTTGGTTAGCTTCAGCATTGTGATTGGTGAAAGGTAAGAATATATATTTTGGGAATAAAAGTATACATATTATGGGAAAAAAAAAGTTAGAAAAAACAAAGGAGAAAGAAAATAAATTATGGGCTTTGACGCCATTGCATGGCGCATAGGTGCTCAGAATAGAAAAAAAATAGAGAAGAAGGGAATAGTTATGTTTAGATTTTGACGCTACTGCATCGCGCAAGGGTGCTCAGTATAGGAAAAAGAGAAAAAGAAGAGAATGGTTAGGTTTAGATTTTGAAGCCACTGCATCGCGCAAGGGGGGCCAGAATGAGAAAGAAGAATGAGATAAAGAAAAGTAATTAACTTGAATAAAATACACTTTCAGAGCTATTCGAAAAAAGAAATTATTATATTTTATAAACAAAATAACCAACAGAAAAATTTTCTAAATTTATTAATGACACACCTCACCTCTAAGAATTTATTTTACAAGATTACACCGAACATATATAGGGTGAAAAAAGAGATAAGTGTGTTTTAAGAAGCTGAAACTATTATTAAGTGATACCCAATATATTGAAGTAAGATAGGGCCAAAATAGAATTTTTAAAAAGGAAACGGAGAAATAGATGTTAAACTTAAACAAGGTTAAGGAATCACTGAGGCCATTGACTAGAAGTAGAGGTTAACTTAGGTACAGGTAGAGGCTACAACATCAGGTACGGCAGGAAATAGAAATAAAGTAGTCAGGTTGGAGGATCAGTTAGTAGGCCTTCAGCCGACGATCGATATGTTAGCAGGAATAAAGCTTACGGACGTCATAAGGTTAATGCATGTGTATGAAGGAAGCGCAGAGAAACTTAATGAATTCATATTAAATGCTGAAGATATTCTAATGATGATTAGAGGGAGCAGACCAGACTCCCATGGGGCTTCTAGTATTGAGGCAAATAATAAACAAAATTCAGGGAAAGGCAGATGACGTTCAAGAGAAATCTAAATCGCGAGTAAACTGGGACCAGATCAAACACTTTTTAATCAATCATTTTGCGGAAAAAAACGGAACCAGACTTACTGAGGGAGTTGAATCAATTGGAAAACAAAAAGCTGTTGGTAGAAGCATTCTACGATGAGATATCTGAAACGCATAAAGCCTTACGTTATATAATCGATAGGACGCAGACTGACCTTACGACCTTACAGACAAAAAATAAGTTTTATGATGCAACCTGCTTAAAGGCCTTCATAACAGTGTTAAAATGCAACTTAGGTAGTGCTGTTCGGGATAGGGAGCCGAACACATTGTTTAAGGCTTACGAAATAACTATCCGAGAAAGAGACATCTGTCTGAGGACACGGAAAGTTAATATGTCAAATAACCCCTTTAACTCTTGACACTACGGCAAACAATCAAATCAGGGATACAATATTTATTACTCAAGAGGGAATACTGGACTTAACAACTGATTCAAGCAACAAGGAATGCTGGCTGCTTATAGACGAGAGACTTACAAATGAGATTAGGATAAGGCAAGTGGTAATAGGCGTCAGGATTACCAGTCAATTGGGAGTAGTTTGAACCTCAACAGACGGCAATTATGCCGAAACAGGAGTTAGAAGAATGCTCCCCGTCAGGTTCGAGAAAAGCAAAACAATGGCAGATCGGATATTCGAGAAGGGGACAAGTTAATACATTAGAGAAGGCTCACCAAGATCTTAGTAACAACATAGACAAAGGGGAGCGCTTCGGGAAGCAAACGGGGTTCATAAGAAAGGATACCCATAAGACAGTGTTACTCTACATCGTAATCAATGGAAAAGGGAAAGAAGCACTGAATCTATTAGATGATTCTGGAGCTAAGAATTAGTATTTCAAACCTGAGTTAATAAAAGAGGATCGGAAAGTAAAGCTTAAGAAGCCTTTGGTTATTTAAACACCTATAGGAAGCCATGGTATATAGATGAGACCCTCAAGGGCGTTAAATTTAAAGAATTTGATAATGAAACCTTCTATTTCTACTTATTTAATTTGTATTATTATTTTGACGGATTATTGGTTATGGACATACTAAGAAGAATAGGTGCTAAGTTAGATCCAGAAAATTTATTTTTAGAAACAAGGAATAGAAAGATTCCGGTCCAACTGAGACCGAATAGGGTTACAGAGGTCACCTATTGGAAGAGGCATAAAAAAAATTATAACACTATCTTTTACAGTAAACAACTGGGCATTTTTGTTAAATACAACGGATTTAAAAAAAGGAGTGCAGATTACTGGTGGTATCTACCAAGCAAAAAATGGATAGGCAGACCTAGAGGTGGCCAACAGCAAAAGAAAACTATTCTTGGAGGCACCATTGGCAGTAATACCATATCACATGGATAACTTTGTAGAAATGGAAATGCTAGCGCCATTAGAGCGAAAATCTAAAATCGAATTAAATTTAAAAGATGGCGCCGACACTGAGGCGGCTCAAGCCAAACTGGCAATCGAACATTTGAATGAAGAAGATGCGGAAAGCCTTAAGAAACTTTATTCCCAATTTCCAGACATATTTCACTCAAAAGGAAAAACAGTTGACGTTTACCAACGGTGTTAAGCACTCAATTTCAACGACGGATATTTAAGATATTTAAGAAATCATAAAGATATGGATTTAAGCAAACAGCTGAGATAAAAAGACAGATACAAGAGTTATTAGAACAGGAGGTCAGCAGGCATAGTCACTCACCATGAAGTGCACCAGTTTGGTGGGTACCAAAAATTATGGATTTGTCAGGAAAACAGATGTGGCGATTGGTAGTGGATTTTAGGAAGCTTAACGAGAAGACGGTGAAAGTTTGATACAACACTAGCATCAGCGATGTACTTGATAAACTGGGTAAGCCAATGTATTTTTCGGTTTAGGTTAAGCAAGTGGGAACCACCACTGAATTTATGACTGGAAATGGGCACTTTGAATACGTGAGGATGCCGTTTGGGCTAACTAATGCCCCGGCCACTTTCAGAGA